ATTATCTCGCTCGTTCATACCTCTCCCTCTCTCTCTCCCTCTCTCTCTCTCTCTCTCTCTCTCTCTCTCTCTCTCTCTCTCTCTCTCCCTCTGTTTCTTTTTCTCTCTCTTTCTACTTCCTTATCTCTCTACTTCGCTACTTCTGTTTCTTTAACTTTCTACCTCTCTACCTCTTTATTTCTCTATATTTTTATCTTTTTACCACCCTCTCTCTCTTTCCTCTCTCTCTTTTCTTCTCCCTCACAATATCGTAACCTAATAAAGTTATCTTACTAATTTCCAAAATTCAACTTAAAAATCTCTAATACAATGAGCATATCCTTCTGCATTGAGACACGTCTTGAGACTGACTCTTTTGTTCTCCAACTTTAACGATCATACCTCTCTATGGGAGCTACGTGAAGATGGCTTTTCCATCATAGCAAATTATAATTTAACTATAATAATTTATTTGGTGGTGATGGTTTGATAGCGTTTGATAGTCTATTCCCGACGTTTTGTAATCAAAACTGCGTCAGATATCAAGAAAAATAAAAAATGAATGTGAAGTTGGCCTCCTCTCCCTTCAAGCTAAAAAAACACTTTCAAAGCATCGTATGTAACTTTTACTCTTACCATTGTTTCGTAGTTGCCTTTTAACGTTTGGTAGTTTATTTTCGACCTTTGGTAGTTAAAACTGTGTCAAATGTAAAAAAAATAAAACGCATGTGAAGTTGGTCATTCCTAAGCTGAAAACCCACTTCTAAAACATCATACATAATTTTAACTGTTACCATTTGTTTGGTGGTCACCTCTTAACGTTTGGTAGTCCATTATCGATGTTTTGTAGTCAAAACTGCGTCAAATGTCAAGAAAAATAAAAAGATACATGTGAAGTTAGGCCGTCCTAAGCCGGGAAACCACTTCTGAAACATCGTATGTAATTTTAACTGTTATAATTCGTTTAGTAGTTTCATTTTAACGTTTAGTCAATTCCCATTGTTCGGCAATTGAAAACATCATTATAATTAAGAAAAATAGACAGCGTAACTATAAAGTTGGCTTATTTAAGCTGGAAATTCACTTTTCACGCATCGTATACAATTTTTACTATTACAATTCGTTTGGTGGATGCCTTTTAACGTTTAGTGATCCATTCCCGAAGTTTGGTAGTCGAAACTACTTGGCCAACTTTACACGCATCTGTTTATTTTTCTTGATATCTGACGCAGTTTTCACTACCGAACATCGGAAATAGACTACTAAACGCTACCAAACGACTAAAAAACAAATTATTATGGTTAAATTGTAATTTACTATGATAGGGAGGCCATTTTCACGCAGCCCTCTATAAGACTTTCTCCATCCGATCCAATTTAGGGGTTAGCGTTCGACAATTTCTTTTACCTTAACTCTTATGTCGCTTGGTTATCTCACTAGTTTACTTATTACACACACACACGCGCCACGCACACACCCACGCATGCACGCACACAACGTTTTGTTAAATAAAAGTATCACAATTTTTATACAAATTCTGAATCGAGCTTTCGATATCGAAGACGTCAAAACAACGTTATTCGACGAATCATTTCTGGTTGAGTCTCAATCAGATGTCGTTAAATCAATCTTCCGTCTGTGTTAGGACCTGAGCACAAAGATTGTTACAATCGTTTACGACAGTGTCGTAGACGTAAATCGGTGTTGGAAGTCAACGCATAAGGATTGGCTTAAACGTATGCTATATCAAATATGATTAGACGACATATTGATGCAGCATACGTCTACGTCAATCTTTATGCGTTGACTTCCGACACCGACTTACATCTACGACACTCGAAAACGATTGCGACAATCTTTGTGCTCAAACCCTTACTTTGCAAACCTTGAATCTCGAAATTCTCCATTCTTCCAGGACGTTATGCATGCGATGGTCCTGCGCGTTACGCCAGCTTAGGAGCCTTGCAGGCACGCATCGAGCTCGGACCATACAATGCGCAAACTCACACTCTGGCATTTTTCCGAAGACACCGCGGCCGATTCTTACCACATCATCACGCGTCCCCCAGTCTTTTATTAGGCTTGGGACTCGGACTGGGGTTAGTGGGTGGCAAGGGTGCACCTGAGGCTCATCTTCTGGAACAATACAAACGAATACCGAACAGTCACAATGGTAGCGCGACTAACACAAACCCGAAAAAACTGATCAGGAAATACCTTGAGTTCTGCTGGAATTTACCATGCTACGGTGCAGCCTTCTTTCAAGGTCAAATTGAACGACCAGTGCGGGGCCTCGCGTCATGGATCACCAATCGCGATCAGCAAGTCCTCATTGCAATCAACACGTCAGGAGTTTATATAGTCGATGATATGCAGTGTGTAAGTTGCAATCAATATGCGAAGTCGACATTATTTTGATATATTAACGCTTCCCTTATAGAAATATCATACTAAGAATCATTGATAATTACTTATTATCCAGTATTTTTAATATTGAAAATAAGTAATTATCAATGATTCTTAGTATGATATTTCTATAAGAGTTGTTAGTATTTATTCATTTCATCGTAGAACTATCCATAAAAGTACCAAAAAGCGTAATTAAGCAAATACTGTAGTAACGAAAGTGATACTTTGAATGGACGTTCGTGCATACATACGATAACAATATTATTGCGTTTACACGGCAGTCTAAAATTGATTTAGTAATTATTAATGTTGTAAGTATTTATATAGGATATCATGTACTCTGACGAAAAAAGAAGTTTCATAAACGTTTATTTAGCTTTTACGTAAACGTAAGAGTTTGTTGAGAAGTTTAGAAATTGTCAATACAGAGTTCGTAGAGCGGAAATTGCAATACTATAGCGTTTGAAAGGCGTTCTCTGACGAAAATAAGAAGTTTCATAAACGTTTGTTTAGCGTTTACGTAAGCGTTTGCGGGAGTTCGTTGAAAGTTTAGAAATTGTCAGTACAGAGGTTATAGAGCGGAAATAACAACACTACAGCGTTTGTATACAGCGTTTTTGAGATTTTGCAAACGTTTGCATGGCGTTTGCATGGCGTTTACTTTTTCTATACAGCTCCGACCTATTTCAGAAAGTTTTCAAAAAGTTTTCAATAACATATAAAACATTTAAAAGAAATATTTCAAACATATCTTTTAAAGAAATATTTCATATACATGTATCTTTCAGATACATAAAATATCCGTTATAATGTATTATACTATCTAATATATATCTGAAACATTACTTCAAAGTTTAAAAAATATATAGGAAATATTTCAGATATTTTTTTTTATATACAGAAACTATTCGTATTTTTATATTTAGGAACTATTCCTAAATGTAGTGTTTGTTGATTTTACTTGAAAATTTAAGGTTACTTGATTCCAATGTTACATCACATATGAAAATTCTCACTGGCACTAAAGAGACTCGAATTTGGACTGACTGGTACCTCTGGATTATGAGTCTGTTGCTTTAGACACTATACCATTTCTTCGATTGATATAAACGCCTTATATTTATATAAACTTTTTCATGAAAGCGTTTCTTGCGCGTTCCAAAGCTGTTTGCGTAAACATCCTATAATTTGCCGCATTGGAAGAGCGTTTGTTGAACGGAGAGAAAACACTTGTGATGTTGGAAAAAACGTTACTTAAACATTTGAAAAATCTGACAGCAAACTCTCTGCACGAAGGTGTATCAGCGTTTATTGAGCGTATTTTGAAAAGCGTTACTTTAGCATTGCAGAACTTTCACGAAATGTTATATATAGCATTTGATAAGCGTTCTGAAAGCGTTCAAAATCCAACAGCGCTGAGTAAGCGTTTATACAAAGTTTGAAGGCGTGTAAATTCTTAAGAAACTCTCATCGAACGGTTTATAAAGTTTTTTATTTTCGCCAGAATTGGAAGAGCATTTGCTGAATGGAGAGAAAACTCTTGTCTTACGGCGTTGGGAAAAGCGTTTCTTAAATGTTTGGAAAGTCTGACAGCAAACTCTACACGAAGATATATCAGCGTTTACTGAGCGCACTTTGAAAAGCGTTGCTTTAGCATTGCAGAACTTTCACGAAATATTATATACAGTATTTGATAAACGTTCAAAGTCCAACAGCATTGAATAAGCGTTCGTACAAAGTTTGAAAACGTATAAACTCTTAAGAACTCGTAAGAAACTCTCATCGAACGGTTCGTAAAGCGTTTTATTTTCACCAGGGTTTTTATTTTGCCAGTGCTTACATCGATGTTATAACATTTGTTGTGGTAACTCTATAACTCAATAAGCAAAATATTAGCATTATATTGACAAATTTGCAGCAAATTCAATGAGAATTCGACAACAAAACTATAGTCATCTATGTCCGCATTAAATTTGTGTTCTAGTGATAAAGCCTGCTGACATAATTTGACAAATTAATGACAGAAACGGAACAGATCCTGTTATCAAATTCCGTGCAGTAGAGTCAATTTCTGCTGCCAATCTGCCGTCAGATAGAATGTACTTGGTTAGGGTATGCCAGATCTGCTGGCATAATATGTCAGTAAGCTTTGTCAGATTTCTGGTAGCAGTTTAGCGATATAGTCAGATAGAACAAATTCTACATCAGATTTGTAGCTCTTCTGTCATTAAAAATTTATAGCAGATCTGCTTAGAAAGTGTTTATGCAGTTAAAGAAAATGTATAAAAAGAAAGAACTTTATTACTCTTATATCTTAGTTTGAAATGAAATTAATTATTTGTCATTCTTATTAAAAAATTAAGTAACAAAAGCTTAGATAAAAGTAATTAAAATAAAAAAATGTAGCTCCGTAACATGTAAAAAAATTGATTGAAATGTAAAAAAATTGATTTTAAATTGATCGATCTAAACAATGTAAACATAATCTATACTTCTATAATACATATATACAGTATATACAGGGTGTCCCACAACTGGTAGAACACCCGTTAGGAGTAGGTAGAAGGTGCAATTTGGAATTGAAAGTTCCTCTTACATTTTTGGATTCGACAATTAGTTAATGAAATATTAATTAATGAAGTTTGACCCTTAGCGCTTTGAGTGAGCGCTCAGGAACGTGGACACCGTGGGTTCCTCAGTGGTCCTGCTTGTCCGTTTTTCTCCCCTTTTTGTGCACACACATTAAAATTCACGATACTCAATCATCGACATGCAGAAAACATTCAAGTCATCCGCGCACTCGAAGGAAGTGTACCATATATGCCCTCCTCCTCCGGTACGTAAAGTGCAAGCACTCCGCCCACTCGCACCAAAAACATTCAAATTATCACTCATAACCGCATATAAAAACACCCATACATTACACCCACACATTGAAAACTTGCCACCCCTAGCCCCGATCAGACCCATCATCCATCCAAACACCTACTTACTCACTCATCCATATTTATTCCTCTGTGATACAAAAAAGAGGAGGAAAACAGATAAGCAGGGCCCCTGAGGAGTTCACGGTGTCATACGGTTCTGAGCACTCATTCGGGGCGCTAAGGGATTGGCAGAATTAATTACTTAATATCTCAGTAACTAATTATTGGATCCAAAAATGGAAGAGGAACTTTCAGTTCCAAATTTCATCCCCTACCTACCCCTAACGAGTGTTGTACCAGTTGTGGAACACCCTGTATATACAATATATGTGTGTGTATGTGTGTGTGTGTGTGTGTGTGTGTATATATATATATATATATATATATATATATATATATATATATATATATATATATATATATATATATAT